TCTGTATCATATCTTATATCACTAGCACATTATATATCTACCCGTCGAAGACTGCAGACTGGCAGTCGAAAGCTTGTTAATAAATAAATCTTTTTTAACCAGAGAACGTTTACACAATTAATTATGAATCCTGGTTTCGCTTCCAACATTTTTAAAAATATATTTATCGTTTTTGTTGTGGTACGTTAAATGATAGATTGCGCATGAGTAACCGATTAAAGCTTAAAAAGTGCGCATGTGCAACAAGCTTTTACATCCCACAAGCAAAGAAGTAAATGTTTTAGCTTAAATTCGCTGATTGCAAGTAGGGCATGTTTGTCCATTTTTAAATGGGAACTCAACTATGCTATTACAAACTAATAGTATGGCTTTTCGGGAGATTAGTGATTAAATGACCCCTTACCCTCGGTAGATTTGCGGGTTACGGGGTCATTTAATCACTAATCTCCCCCAAGCCATGCTATTACTTATAATAATATAATGAAAACCAAACGGTGCAATGGAACAAAATGTTTAGTACAAAAATACGCGTTCCGTTGCACGCTCAGTAAACTGGGTAATTTTACTTAATATCACCTGATCATAATCTGCCAATAAATTACCATAATAAGGTGTTATATATCAAGAAAATCATAGTTATTGGGAAATTTATAGTTATTTGCTTATAAAGGCCAGGGATTGCTGCATGTATTTTTAGTTTACAGTTTACTGTTCAAACCCGGACTAGGGCTAACCCTGGGTTAGAATTTAACACGCTGTTTTGGTTTGCACTTCTGTTTATTTCAAAACTTTAGAAAATAGGGGGAAATGGTATAAAAGCTGTTTACAACCTTCGGAAGTATTGGACGTCAATGGCCGCCATCTTGGTTTCATTTTCCCAGATATATATGAAGCTCATCGAGTTAACCTAGGATTAATATAATCAGCTTTCGACTGAACCCGACCCCTGAAGATGTTGTCAGTGATAATAATTTGCGAAATAAGTAAAAATTTTGTTCACTCGGCAATATTCCGTGGAAGTTCCTTGCTTTGCTAACACCCCTGGGGTGAAGCAAATGACGAACTGTCCAAGTTATAACTTTGGATTGGTAGGGATGAAACCCGCAAAAAAACACAAGGAGAGCTTCGACGTTTCGAGCGAAGGGGCTTAGGTAGGTGCATTCGTATCACTCTGAAGCTTTCTTATTCTTGGCACTGCCTACACTGGCACAGACAGTGTAAGATTATAATGTAACCGGTCAGGCTAAGTGCATCAGTCAAGTACAGTCTCATCAAGTACAGTCTCATCAAGTACAGTCTCATCAAGTACAGTCTCGTCAAGTACAGTCTCGTCAAGTACAGTCTCATCAAGTACAGTCTCGTCAAGTACAGTCTCATCAAGTACAGTGTCATGAAGTACAGTCTCGTCAAGTACAGTCTCGTCAAGTACAGTCTCATCAAGTACAGTTTCATCAAGTACAGTCTCGTCAAGTACAGTCTCATCAAGTACAGTCTCATCAAGTACAGTCTCGTCAAGTACAGTCTCATCAAGTACAGTCTCATCAAGTACAGTCTCATCAAGTACAGTCTCGTCAAGTACAGTTTCATCAAGTACAGTCTCATCAAGTACAGTCTCATCAAGTACAGTCTTGTCAAGTACAGTCTCGTCAAGTACAGTCTCATCAAGTACAGTCTCGTCAAGTACAGTCTCATCAAGTACAGTCTCATCAAGTACAGTCTCATCAAGTACAGTCTCATCAAGTACAGTCTCGTCAAGTACAGTCTCATCAAGTACAAGTACAGTCTCATCAAGTACAGTCTCTCAAGTACAGTCTCATCAAGTACAGTCTCATCAAGTACAGTCTCATCAAGTACATCTCATCAAGTACAGTCTCATCAAGTAAGTCTCATCAAGTACAGTCTCGTCAAGTACCAGTCTCATCAAGTACAGTATCATCAAGTACAGTCTCATCAAGTACAGTGTCATGAAGTACAGTCTCGTCAAGTACAGTCTCATCAAGTACAGTCTCGTCAAGTACAGTCTCGTCAAGTACAGTCTCATCAAGTACAGTCTCATCAAGTACAGTCTCATCAAGTACAGTCTCGTCAAGTACAGTCTCGTCAAGTAC